CTGTTTACCCAGAGCTTAAGGGAGGTGATGTTTATGTGTGTCCAAAGCTTGAGCAACCACCTTATGTTAGAAGAAAGGTAGCTAATGTTTCAGCCCTGATCCTAGGAAGAGAAAATCTCTTCATTAGCAGAACGAGTATCCCTTGCCATCCCGACGTGCCTGGCAGCACACACAGCTCAGCCTTGTTGCTGAAAGTAATAGTTTGAGTTTCTGTTATGCTGTCCAGCTGAAATGGCAGAGTAATTTAAAAACACCTTTTGAACTGTTTCCCTTCCATTCTGGTCAGCTTGTTTGGTATGACTATCTTTGTTTAAAAGAAAGAAAGAGAAATCAAAACAAATGAGAGTACTATGCAGAAGCTGCCCCGGAAGCGTGAACAAGGCTGTTGACTTTCTGGCTCCGTCCTCTGTTTTATAACCACAAGAACTTTGTTCCTTTTAACCACTATTTTCCTTGATATATGGCAGCAGTGTAATAGGAAATACACTGCATTGGCTGAACAGCCAGAGGCCTTCAGAAATTATTTGTTAGAAATATGCTTTGCTTTACTTGAGTTATATTATTTCATTAGTGAATAAGAGGAAAATGACATCTAACCCTGATTATAGTTGTTCTCGTTATAGCTTTGTTGGTGTTTTACTACTGCTGTAATCAGTTCCTTGAAGATTGATGTGTTCAAACAGTGTCTTTCTTGTATTGCTATTATCTGTGCTACTATTTTATTTGTCCAGTACTTCAAAACTGGGCTAAAAAATCAGTGATGTTCTCCTTGCCTTACCACTGTCTCTAGATCATTGTAATGTAGCATCAAAGACATTGAGCTTGATTTTTCAGCTAGCAACTGACAGATGCAAATGAGTGATTGACAGTTCTGTTTTACCACCAAGATTCTGTCACATTCTTTAATGAAACTGTTAGAATTAAGGAATTCTTCAAAAGGAGAAGAAATCCCTGGTGATCATTACTTGCTCTGTTTATGGTTGGACTACACGATCTTAGTTGTCTCTTCCAGCCTTACTGATTCTGTGAGTGGCCGTGGTGGTGATGAGTTAATGTTGGACTAAATGATGTTAGATGTCTGTTCCAACCTTAATGATTCTATGATTCTTTGAAATCACCCCATGGGGTCAGGCAGGAAATAATTATCTCAGATCTTCACCTGGTCAGGAACATGCCCACATTTACTACTGAGGTGAACAGAAATACTGGGACTGTGAAGGCCATTTCCTCTGAACACCAGGGCTTTGAAGAGTCATTACACAGCAACTCTGAGGCCAAACCGTTAACTCTACTCCCTTGCTGACCTCAGCTTCTCAAACTCTGCTCTCAGCATAATCAACTCCAGGAAAAGCAACTTGCTCAACAGGAGTCTGTGTTCACCAATACAGCATCTGCCCTGGCACCCATTGCTTCCTTTTTGGTGAATGGAAAGGATGCTTTGCTGGGAGCTTTTGCCTGGAAAAGTCAGTGTTCTGGGCACTTGAGATGTGTAAACTACTCCATACTTAAATATGGCAAATTAATTTCCAGCTCCTAATGTCAAGCTGGTTTTCCTAGCTCATCTACGTGACCCTCAGTCTGCAGATCCCACAAAGGCAAAGCTGTCATTTAGGAAGTGGGTTTTCTGTAGGGGAAGTAAGAGTGGATTTCATAACTTCAGTGCTCACACACTGAAGCTGTGTAGCTGCAGATAGTTGGAAAGCACTGAGGTTACAGTCTGAAAAATGGCATGAGAATCTTCAGATCATTTTCCTTATTTCTCCTTCCCTCCTCCACCCCAAAGGCTGAAAGTGATAAAGATTTCTGTGTTGTTTTTTTTTCAGTACTATTCAGATTAAAAGAAACACTTCAGCTATGTGCTGTAGAGCACTCATTGAAAAGAGAATAGCACTTAGTGCAGGGAACGTTCAACAAATAGACTTTTTACTACAGCAGAAAGCTTTAACGTAGGAATATGTTTGAAATCAGAGTAGGAAGCAAAAAGGTGAAATTTTGAACTATATAACAGAAAAACGATATTCCAAAGAGATTTTTCAAATAAGTATCACAGTGTTGTAGGGATTGGAAGGGATCTCTGGACGTCATCTAGTCCAACCCCCCTTCTGAAGCAGGTTCCCTACAGTAGATTGTGGTATCAACATAAAACGCCACCATTTTCTATGAAAATAAACTCAATATATCAAAGTAACTGTTTTCATTTTGAATTGACATTTTGAAATGTAAAACACTTCATTTTGAGATGCTGGCTTTGCTCCAAAGCTTTCTCAATAGGAAAATTCAATAAAAATTGATGTTTTCCTTTGGAAAAAAAACAGTTCAACCTAACCTATGTTCTCTGAGGGAACTTCTTTTATTATAAAAACTTCACCTACTCTTAGGTGGGATACAACAAGCTGCCTTTCCTGCTTGCTTTAGTATCTGTGTAAATACTTCTGTCTTCCTATGGTATTAGCATTTGGAAATGATTTTGTTTCCAGAGTTGCAAGTATGTTCGAGAGGAGTAATGTTCAGATGCTCTTGTGGAATTTTTACTCTTTTTCCTTCCTTCTTCGTGCCTTTAATCAAAGTTCATTGCAAAGCAAATGTCTGTGCCTTGCCGCTCTTAAAATGAGCTGCTGCATGGATTTCAAAAGGGAAGAAGGGAACCGAACCTCCAGATGATAAATACAAGTAGCGCCTAGTGGAAAAAGTCAAGGGGGGGAAGAGGAAATAGCTGTGAAAACACTTTTTGAACAAATAGCTGTGCTTTAACTTTGTGTTGCAGAGTTGCCTGGATACACTGGTAGAGCAGGGATCTGTCTATATGTATTAGCTAGTTTAGTGTTTACTGCTGGAACTCGGAATGTAACTCCAGGCACTATTTACAAATGTTTGGGATGAAGTAGTTCCAGAAAACCAAACAAAGAGTGGAGGGAGGGAAATCATCCCCAAACTCTCTGTTTCTGTTTTCTCCATCATGTTGCTATGCATAATCTAAAAGAGTTGGTAGGTAGCAGCTTATACAAGCTGAGGTGGAAGAAGGGGAAGATTTACGGTGGGTGTTGTGAACCTAGAATAGATGTGCATGGAAAGGTCTGTGCAGGAGACACCTGGAGGCACACGTGCCTGTTGGATGTCCTCTATCCTCTCTAAAAAGGGATCTCCTAATCAATCAGGAATGCAGATAATGAAATGTTTTGGAGGAAGAAGGGAACAGTCCTTTCCCAGCTCTGATCTGGGGTGCTCTTCTCTTTGATGGATGCTCGGAATCCTTTTAGTTATGTTCTGCTCTGCGATTGCATCTAACTGTGGAGAGGAAGGGAGGTATTTCTGAAATGAGATACTCTTTTTGATCTTGGCATCGTTTTTCTTGTGCTTGGAATTGCTCCACTTAATGTTTCGTTTAATCTGTTTTTATTGACTTCCTTGGTGCGAAAAGGGACATGTTCTTTCACCTAGCTCTTAAATTCACACTTGAATTGAGACTTTTTTCATTGCTGATACACTTGAAAAATGTCAGGATCATGTAGAAGCCTCACAATCGGTTCTGTGCTATATATCATAGCCACGTGCAACTTCCCAGTGAGCAGAACCACACAGCAGATGAATTCCTCATGCTCCGAAGCCACAGATCCCCATCCAGCCAGGATGAATCACCAGCAGCTTTCTTCCTGCAGTGCCTTATAACATATGATGGATGCTGATTCTGCCCAGTACAAAGATGCATGCTTACTGATTGCTTTGCTGCAGCTTCTGGAATTCTCTGGGAAATATTATTGGTAGTCAAGTCAGTGAAGAGCCAGTGAGATGTTTACCTCTGACAGGAGAGCACATGCTGCAAAAAGTAAACCTCATCAACGTTGTCTTTGTGGTGGCAGCCAAAGCAGGAAGATGTTTTTTGTTTGTTTAAGCATGCCTCACCTACATACCTTCAGCATATCTGTGCCTGCCTGTGCTGCAGACTGCAGCCTCACGTGGAGGTGCCCAGGTTGGCCAGGCATGGCACGGAGCTCACCGTGACCTCATCTACCCCACACCGATGGCTGCAGCCCAGCATCCTGCAGGGCTTTGGTGGCTCCCACACCAGTTGGCCCTGGGCTTGTGGTATGCAGCATCACAGGTAAAGCGATAGCGCCTTGGTGGGCAGGGTTCAGTTGGCAGACGCTTATGGGGTGGGTGCAATTATCCTAACAAAAGCCAATGTTCAGTGGTAGGCATGAATGCTGCAGGGCATGGAAATGAACGCAGAGGATGGGATGGTTTCAACAGATCAATACAAAGCACAGCCTTGATATCACCAGATGCACTTATACTGTGATGCCATGCTGCCAGGGATGTGTTCTGGCACCTGATGTCTCGGCTGATTGCACTGGTAATTAAGTGTTTCTATTTTCATTTCATTGTGGATGTTTGTGGCATGCACTACCCCAGCACTAGGAAAGGTCATCAAATAATTAAACGTAATACACTACAGAAAGCATTTCATTAATTTTTGCAGGGACACTGAAACATTATAATTGGTTTTCCTTCCACAGTGACTTAGTGTTTGGACACAGGAGGTAAGGGCTCTGGCAACGCAGGTTTAAAAGGCTTCAGGCAGGTTAGGGAAATAATCAAGAGAAAGGTGAGCTGCTATGAATGGAGCATGGAGGCTCCTGTTCAATACCTGGGGAATTGCTTTAGTCAGATTCCACTCTTTAGTTTAATTCTTTGCTTTTATCTAAACATTCTTTTCTATATCAACTGAAATGTTTGCCTCCCTCGCAGTTCACATCACCTCAAGAGCAAAATCACCCAGAGAAATCTTCAGCCTCAGCCAAGGCAGAAGGAAAGGAAAAAAGAGGGGGAAGAAACTTAAAATAGAGAGTAAAAAAGGAATGTGTTTGGGGAAACTCAGGAGAGTGTTCTGTGTGTTAGCCAGTGAATCTTAAACAATATTAACTTCTTAGCAACAATGATTCTGTTTTGTTTAACTAACAAAGGATACTGTAAGCAGATACATGCGTCTGGGGCCGACAAGGTTTGCGTTGGACAGTTCTTTTATTGGCCTGGCTTTTGAAATTAACTCAAATTTAGCAGTAAGACAGGAATTATGCATATTTTTTTCTGAAGCAGAGGTTAGAGGTAAAGCTCCCAGAGATTTTCCAGTTCCTTGCTAAATTTAAATCTTAACAGAATGGGTCACTGCTCGTCGTCTGTGTTCATGCCAGTTCCAATGGAGTGGGAATGAAAAAGAGGAATGAAACCCGTGTCTTCCTCTCAACAGGAATGTGATGCAAATGCTTCTATCTCTTTTACATCTAAGCATGTGAGAGGAAGCTGAAATATGCCCTTATGTTGATGGACAACCAGGTTCTTCTTGCCAGTGAAATCCTGTTCTACCAAAAAGGAGGAAAAAAGTCATCTTTCTGTGCTCACCAGCGTAAATGAGTGGAAGACGTTTTGTAGAAATGAGCTAAATGAAGTTAAAGTTATGTTAAATAAAGCTGAGGAGACAGAACTTGAGAGTCTAAGCTTAGTTATTGAAGAGCTGTGTTAAATTCCTGGGTTAGGTACAAGGATGTGCCTCTCATGGGAAAACACCTCTTAGCCTGCTGGTCCGAGGGGTGAGAATTCTCAAAACAGAGAATTTCTTTGCTGTCTGTGTGCCACACACTCAAATTTTACTGAGTCACACCTGGACCAATCCCAAAAGTTCCAAAACTGAGCTGATGCCATCCCAACCCTGGAAAACCACACTCCTCCCATCATCCCAGCATGGATTTCCACAAAATCCTAAATCCCAGTTTGTCTTGAACCTTCAACATGATGTTGATTTGTGTTCTGCTGACATGAAAGCCAATCGGATGGGAGAGCATCAGAAGATGTCTGACTGAACATCAGCTCCTGAGGCACTGCCAAAGCACCCAGGCAGGCACTGGGCACACTCACTGTTTGCTGAAATACATCTAAATGGTTTATATTAATGTATCTCACAAGATTTTTGTGAGGATTAGTTAATATTTGCAAGGTGTTCGTGGCAGCAGATTAAATATTGTGAGCCAGTTCCTTCCTACTTACCTCACATGACCTGAGAAAGGATTCTGGTTTTCCTCTCCACTCTACGCATCCTAATACAGCAACCTTCTGCTTGGCTTCTCATATCTTCAGCAGCTGGACAGGAATGACAGTGCCTCAGCTCTGTTCTTCATGGATTTGTCTTTTTAAAGGTGGAGGAAGGGAAGCCTGTGCAGAAGGAAGTGTGCAATGTAGTTTAGGCCCTGAAACAAGCAGAAAATTGCCATGCACGGGAAAATGGAACAAGGGAAGATGGGAGCTCACCTCTCCAAAAGGTGCATTTCTGAGCACAGCTATAAAGCTCAAGCAACCTTCCTAGCCTAGGTTAGGGGCTTCTGCTTCAGAGGGGTAGAAGGGCTTGTGTGCCTAAACGTGTTTGCTTTTCCATATGTATTAACTGATATGCTATAGTTGTTATTGTTCCTTGTAAGAGTGTGGTATTTCTGGTAGTTTGTGAAATAACTATGTTGATAATGTCAGTGAAACTGAGTCATTGAAGAGACCTGCTGAGAAGGGTTTTCAACAGGGCTTTTATTTCCTCATATGCTGTATGATGCAGTGTCGAAGGGTGAATTTGCTCCCTGGTATTGATCACAATTGATTTGTATCCCACCACATAAAGATTTTTACCAGTCCTTATAATTTTTTCTTTGTACAAAGTTAAATGCTTCTTCCGATTAACCTTCTTGAACTGAGTTGAGCTGGATCAGGATTTCAGCCTGGTATCTCCCCCCAGTCAACACTTGCCTTACTGAATGAAGTGAAGGAACTGAAAAAGTACTGTCTGATTCAAATCATCACCTACAGAAATGATTATGAAGAATATGCACTGATGTTTCTATGGCTCTTAAGCCCATTCCTGACATACATCAGCCACCAGTGTTTCTTTCCTGGGGAGCATATTTCAGACCAGCATATTTCTATACTACACCATTTTCTTTCTGGACAACAACGCTATTTCTTACTTCTTTTTTTCCTTTCTTTTTAAACTCCCAGAGCTTGACTCCACTTATTTAATTTTGCAAATTCTTCTTTCATAGCAGCTTTGCTTAGCAAACTCTTGCCAGCCTTTCTACTCCTCCTCCTGTCCATCTGCCCGTGCCATTCACATTTAGTCCTTTATATCTTTCCTTATAAATCCTCGAACCTTTGAGTTTCTTTTTACCCTTTGGCTGTATTTCTGGTCTGTGACATCCTGGAAGAAAAGCTGAAAGTGGAGGTGTGTCTGCCTCTGTAACAAACTTTTAGTTTCTTTAAGTTCTGCTTTCCTTAATACAGTATTCTAGTTCCAACTTTTATCTAATTTTCTCTCTACAGACTGTTTAACATCAGTGGTTTGCGATGATTCTGCTATAAAAATATCTTTCATGTTCTTCCCCTTCTCCCAAACATTTGTTTGCACCCTCACAGATTTTTATATACTTTTCTCTCCGCCACTCAGTCCCTGGGTTTATGAACTCCTTTTGAATTGTGCTCTCCTTGTGCTCTCCCTGTCCTCCCTGATGTTCACAGCACCTCCTGATTTAGATTAAACATCTCTGAATTTAATTAGCGTGCTCTTTACTCTCATTCAGATCATTAAATTGGTCCACTAGGAGCAGAGTGAAAGGATGAGCCTGGAGCAATGTATGCCCGTGCAGAGGATCAGACAAATGAGCAGCAATAAGCATTAACAGAGAAATTGTTAGCATCAATACACTGCTTTCCTGGGGAGAGTGTTGATGGGATCTAAAGCCAGGCAAAATGATACATGAATGTTTAGTCTCAGGTGGCATTTTTTGCAGATAAATTTGGATTAAGCTGCAATAAATTCATGGTCCTGCCTGTTAAAGCTGTCAGCAAAGTGTGAGGAGTCCAGCCAAGATGTAATCCAAGAATGGATTAGCATCTCTCAGTCTCCCTGGGATAATGCAAACTAGAATCTAGCTGCGTTCCTGGGATGGAAGTAGGACATCTGAGTGATGGAATACAGTTTGTCATTTAAACACAAGCCTTGATTAAAGGTAGCTCTCAGGTTCTGGAGCAACATACATAGATGCACTGAAAAGCATCTGAACGGGACTGATAGAAGAGGTAGAGGCTGGAAGATTCTTCACTGGGATTTGTTTTTTTTGTTTTAGTCCTTTGGGGCCTGGCCAGGCTACTGCCAGTGCTAAGAGATCTGTGCTGTGATCAAATTCTGCGACAATCAGTAGTTCACAAGAGCACATGTTTATGTTCAGCAAAACAGCAGGTGTCGTTTGTACCTTCTGTGTGCCTGTTACATGTTCCATTACTTACATTCTTCACAGACAGATCAATAGAACTATCGATCTGCTAAACAAGTGTATTTGTTTTCTCTATCATTATCATAATAAGACTTGGCTGTCTTTATTGTTGATTTTCTGTGCAATGTTTTTAACTTAAACTTCACTCAGAAGTTAAAACAGTAGCTAATTCGAGCTCATCTGTTTTCGCTTAGTAGTTTTGAGCATCTATTTCGTGAATGAAAGCACATAACCTAACAGATAACCTCACGTGCCTCCTGATGTCTACAGGAAGTATTATCTCAAGTGCAGCACAAACAGTCCAATGTCAGCAGAATATAAAAATAGGGGCCACAGGGACATATTTCTAAGGATGCAGATCATGGCCTTGCCCTTTAAATATAAGCAAGAATAGTGAGAATATGAAGTCACACAAGAAAACCCCAATGCACCTATTTTTATAGCCACCATCCATTATACCAAAGTCGCTCTTGCTTTTTGTTGGAGCTCTGTTTTTGTTTCCATTTGCTTTGGCAGCAGCAGACACTAACCCTATGGTTCAGGGTTAGCAAAGGGAGAGAACTGGCTTAATCCTTTGTGTGGGGTGGAGGAATGAGGGTCCTAGAGGCCTGTGGAAGTAGTCAGTTAAAGAGGCATTATTCAAGGTAATATTAGAGGTGATATCACAGAGGCAAGAAAAGAACAGAAAGCTGTTCTGTGTGGTTGCCTGGTGGGAATGACCAAGGAGTGTGTTCTATGCTCCTTCACAGAAAACTGTAGTTGAAGCCTGTGGCTTGTTAGAGGTTCAAGTGAGGGAAGCAATGGATTTTTTTTTATTCTGTGGCTGTGATGAGGGAAGGGTTTGGCAGCAAATCGGCACATAATAAAATTGCAAAGTGATGGAGACAAGACTGGCAACGCAGAGTGAATTGAAGGAAACTTTACTTTAGGCTTAGACTGAAAATATGGAATGGAAGTTTTAACAGTCTCTTTTGTTCTTCTTCTAAAGTGGGTTGTTTTTCCCTCCAGAGATTCTGCAGAAGATGAGTAGAATGAATTTGCATGAGTAGCAAATGCTTCAGTTGCAAATTTAGAGGGCAAACTGTCTACTTATCTACAACTTATTCTACAACCAGCACTCCAGTTCCCATTCTTGGAGAGAAATTGTAAGGTTTCTGCACATCTCATTTCCTAACTTAGCATTGGAGGAAGCTTGCTAGGCTGAGAATTCAGTCTGCAGCACGACTGCAGCAAGAGGGAAGTGTGATGCATGCAGACAAGATGAAACAAGCTGAAGGCTTTCCACCTGCCTGTTATTAGCTTGCATTCTCAGGCAAAATCAAACCACTACCAACACCTAGAGACTTGCATCCTTCAACACTCCTCCCCAGATTTTTGGAGAGGCTGCACCTGACCTTTGTATGTGCTGACTCTAGACGTGCCAAGCAAGCAGTTCAGTAACCAGCTAAGTGGAAGTAATTATTTTAATTAGTGTAATTGGATTACACCAAAGTATTTCTGAGGACTGCTGTTCTGCTTCAAAGAAGTTGTTCAAACTGTCCTGGTTCCATGTCGCTCTTAAATCAACACGTTATGTAAGGGTTTAGTCAGGAAAGGGAGATTGGTTAGAAAAAATGCTCAATTTTCTTCAGAATTAGTATTTAATAACACAACGAAAGTTGTATAGACTGCAGTAGGTTTTACTAGGACAGAATACTGGTTTTTGTAAGCTATCATCATATGTGCATTTCTTTCTCAGGAAGTCATAAGGTTATAGGTATTTTCTTAACCTCTGTTTCTTGCTTGTCATCAACAGCTGAAATCCCATCAGCATCAACTGTGGGCATCCAGAGCAAAGCAGCTGTTTCTGTGGGACCTCACCTTTTAGAAGGAACAGGTCATCGATCAGCTGTCTAAAATGCTGAATGTTCTCAGTCAGCTCAAATTATAGATAGCAGAGATTTGAATAAGACATGCCTGAAAATTGAGGTATTTTTCTTTTGTAGTGAAATGGTTGCATCTTGGAAGGTATTTCACTGCAACTGATTACATCTGCTTCCAATTAGCAGAGGAAATAACTAGCAAATCATCGGGGTTATTTCCTTCTGCAGCAGTTTTCTCAGGCAGTCTTCTATAACGTTATGTACTTGACAGCATGTTTTAGCACTGACACTTGGTATGACTGTTTCTACTCCTGAGAAGGAATGTGATTGTCACTAAGGAAACCTACCGAATACAGTTAATTAATTTACTGTAGCACAATCCATTATGTCTCAACAGATCAGAGTCTGCCACTTGTCCTTGGTGGCTGAGTTCCGTCAGCATCGACTGTGAGCAAACCCAGCAAAGGTTTAGCATTGGTTTCGTTTCTTGCCTTCTGTCTGTGCTGTTCATGTTGAGACTGAGTTTGACTTTCATGTGTGCAGTCCTTTTGTTCCTGTAGATCCTCTAATGGGTGACACAGCTAATACCTCCTGACCTCAGTGATGTCATACAGCTTACTCAAGTTCTACCTGAAAGGCAGTTTGCAATGGCCAGAGTAAACATTTGGTAATGATATGTAACTGGCTGGTGAAAATAAATCCCTGCTGGTTACTGAAGGAAACGCAACAGGGGAAACATGCTGGAGGAGTTGTAAGAATGGTTTATACAGACATATGGTATTATATTAAACATGCTAAATTGGGTGTACTCTATGGCCTCTCCTTTTGTTATACCCTTAACAGTGAAGTGAACATGGTTTTAGAAGAGCGGAATGTTTTAAGCAAACATTGCTGACCTAGATTTTCAAAATGGGTGAGCTTGAGGACACTGCCTTCATTTCATGCCTCGTTAACTTAGCCTGTTCTTCAGTTTCTATGGAAACTACATCTTCTTTGGTGACAGATAGAAACTTTTGATGGTTCAAGTAAGTAGAAAGTAGCACGAGGCAGTAGGGCAGAGGATGTGTTACGGAGCTCTAATGGAAAAAGGCAATGAATGAACTCTGAACATAAACAAAAGAGTGATAGCAGAAGACCATAAATGTCAGTGCAGTGACAGCTAAGATGACTCAAGTTACTAAGGGATGTGAGAGCACAAACTTAACACAGCGTGACCCTGTTCTGATGGTTAACGCAGTTAAGCTGGGCTCAGGATGCAATAACAAATCAGTCTGACTTTTTTGTTACAGACGAATAAGCAGGGCTCCAACCCAAAATTTCAAATATGTTGGTGCTGAGGGAGTATTCACATTGCACTAAGGCTGATTCTGCCTTGTACATAACACACCTGAACGCACATTTATGTTAAAGTGTTTTTTTTTCCTCTGGTTGAATAAGCAAAGCCTATCTTTACAGTTTCAGACTAGAATTTTTTCCATTTTGCCTGAGAAAACTTTACACTGAGAAGCATTTATTATACTTTTACATCTTACTAAGGTGCTCTCATAGTTTATAGGCCAAAAGTGATATCAGGCATTTAGATTCTTGTCACAACAAAGGATTTCAGCAGAGCCAGACAGAAAATTATGCAAACAGTTGGGCATTAGCTAGAGAACAGAGCTGGGGATGTGATTCTGGGCTTTACTGCCGTGGGATTTTGACAAGCTACCTGATAATATTCTCAAGCCTCTGTTTTCCAATCTGAAAAGCAGTATGATGACAACTTTCTTTTTATATGTAATTATTTAAGGTCTAGGAGTTGAAAGGTCTGTATATGTACTGCGGTTTGTCTTGAAGAAATTATTACTGGCCAAACAGTTGGACTAACTCAAGTCAGAGGCACTTGAGTGACACTGTGGTTCAGCTATAAATTAACCCTACTCTTTTGCTTTCTGTCTTAAGAGCCTTTTATATCCTGAATTTAGAATGCATTGTAAACAGAGCTACATCAGCCTGCTGTGTTATTTCATGGATCATTCAGAGGTCACCTCCAGTTCCAGGGAGCCCTCTGCCCACTGAAACAAAATCCACAAACCTGAAGGGTAGTGTGAGGAGTTTGGGGCTGGATGCCATTTCTACTTTGTTCTGTCTGTACCAGAATGTGAGGTGTTTGGGGAGCTTGGCAGATGCCATGCCAGATCAATCGCCCTTTTATTTCAGTGGCCAGACCCTTGTGCTTGTATTGGTTCATTCACTTATAAAGTTATCTGGGGCTAACTGGAGGCACACAGTAACAGGACTAGGACCAGACTGCCTGAGACAGTCTCGGGAAGAGGGTAACCTGCTTTAGGGAGAGGTTTCCTGCAGCCTTACACTGTCTGGCCTCACACTGCAAGGGTTTTTCCCTTGCCTATCCTTTGATGTAGTGCAGACAGGATATTTCAGGGGATTCTTGTTTTCGAGCTTTCAAAAGATCACAAGAACACAAGATAGTGCAGAGGTAAAAATAGCCTGCACTCATTTAATGTTAGTGAGTACACAGAATTGCAGAGTTACCTTTGCATAATTTCCATGGTTATTTGTTAAGCTCAGCTGCTGCGTGCAGCCTTGAGGATCAGATGCTGGCTCTGCATCACTTAAGCTTAATTAAAACACTGTCGGGCTGATATATTAAAAATGATGCTGAAGTGGCTCTGGTACTGTAGCAATGCACCTAGATGTGAGAAGGAGAGAGACATGAAGGTACCATTAAGAGAATTGCTGGGCTGGGGGCACTGCAATGACCGTTAAGGTGCTCTCAGTGTACTTGTTGTCATGTATGTTTTTCTTATGTTCTGAATCAGCCATTTCTACCTGAGCACAGTCTTGGCTTGACTACTGCCCAGCATCCTCTGGCTGCTGGTGCTTCAACTTCTGCATTTGATTGGAAAAGGCAGATGTTCTGAGGAGCCATCCCTCCTTTCTGCGGGTGGGAACTGACAATGCTCAGAGTTCTTGGAAGTCAGGCATTAGGTGCAAGAGGATTGTGAAAGAGAGCCTGGAACATGCTGTTTTACCAGACCTCCTCCCTGTCTTCAGCCTCATCCATAGGCTTCTAGAAGGGATCAGGAACCACACTGCACCCTTCCCAGCCCTGCGGGTGGGGGCAGTGGGATCTTGCAAGAGCAGGAATTGGTTTGCACCAACGCCTCCACGATGCAAACATCTACTGCCCAAAGGCTGTTTAGGAAGAACTCGGTCATGATTATAAGTGAATATCAAAAACATCTTATGACCAAGTATTATGAAATCAGCAGACCACAAGAAAAATAGCTGTAGTTGCTGGGGCAGATTCCTCCTTTGCTTTCATGTGACTGTATCTAATCTACCCTGGCCTGCCAAATTATTTGAAAGGATGTTAGTGTGTAAGCTCAGAGCATAAATATTATAGAACCTCTCTGTATTTGCTAGTGGGGGTACAGTAAGGAAATCATACACCAGCAGGAGATTGGTGCTGGGAAGGTAGTTCACTGTTATGGCTCTTCAGAGGCAGAACTCGCTGTAATGATCTTGTCTGAGTTTTGAGAAGATTAAATCTAGGAAGCCTTTAGGAACTAGACAAGGCTTTTTTTATTATTATTAGTTCTGAGAAACAAGTACTTGCTATTAATGGGAGCTGCCTAACTTCATCACATCTGACAAGGAAAGAGTACCTGACCTTCTTTGTAAGACGTGTAATGCAGAGATTATCCTTAATTATCCTCAATATTTGCCCTAGAAATTGTTCTGTGGAAGCTCCAGGCGTGCCTGAGGCTGTGGTGCTGGATGGGGTGCAGGAGGAGTTCCCTTGGGCAGCCCTGGGAGGCAGTGTGTGCCCACAGCAGCTCAGATGGGCCTTGAGGTCAAAATCCCTCTTCTGCTTTCCACTCCGTCCTGAGATTAGTAACCAAGCGCTGAGCTTTGCCACAAATAACCCAATGCTATCACCTGATGTCTCGCTCCGGTCAAGCGCAAGGCAGGGACCAGGTCTGCCCTTCGCTCTCTTGTGCCACGGGGGATGAAGGCCAGTTCCTTGCGCCCGGCTCAAGGTCCAGGGGTGGGTGAGGAGGAAGAAGGAGTGCCATGTTTCCCCATACTCACCCTGCGAGTGGAGAGTCCAAGTAACAAGTGAGCAATCGCAGCTACCCCCAGGCAACTTGATCCGTCCTCAAAGCTTGTACATAGTGATTAATTATGTGATAAGGGCAGAAAATAGATGAGAAGAAAGCAATAGCTTTGTGGGGTCATTAACCATGTAAGTGTGTCCTTTACATGGCCCACACCTCTGATGTTCTTCAGCTGCCACAGACTTGTGTTCTCAGGATTCCACTGATACCAGGGTAAGACAGGGCCTTACCTATCTCTGAGATCTAAACTTTTGGACTTGGTGTTGCAATTCCTGATAAGCACACTGTATCTTGCCTTTCTTTTTCAGGTTGAGGTGGTTTTAGAGTAGGGCTGTTTACATCTGGCACTACGAAACACCCACTTAAGGGCCAAAGTGGATGGAAGGTGGGGACAGCCAGAAGTGAATGTCAGTTGCAATCATCACAGTGATGTCATCGTACTGACTGTAAAGATTACAGAGATAAGCAGATTTGTTACCTTTCTCAGAAGGTATTTCAGTCACTAAGGAGTCTGGCTTGACACATTCAATTTCCTGGAGGTAGAGTCTTACCTGACAGTAGATCCACCCAACAAACATCTGTCTTCTCACGTAGCTGTGGTTGTTTTAGAAATGTCCTCTCCTAAGCCATCATGAAAGCACGTCCAGAATCCAGCCCTGTCCTGTGCTAGCAGAATCCTGTTCTGCAGAGCCACAAAAGACATTTTATTATGAGTTTACATAACTTGAAATATTGAAGAAATAATAAAGGGGCCTAAAATCGGCAGTGGGGAAAACTTTGCAGTGTTACAAACCAGCCCTTCAGCAAACAATTCTCCCCATCTTATGACCTTACAGGGCCAGCAAGCAATGCACTGCTCTATCAGTTTTTGTGATCTTTTGGACAACATAATGAGTTTACCAAGAAATAAAATATCTTCATTCACATCTTCAACCAGGCGGAGGTATTTTAGACCATCTTTGACACAAACTTAAGATTCTCTGTAAACTCTGATTTTCAAGTGGAATTGTATGGTAGGAAAACAGATGCCACTGCTCTGTGAGGAAATGAAGTTTAACTGAAGTTTAACTGGCTTAAGGTATTCAAGCTGTCCTTTCAGACCTGGAAATCAAAATCCAGCCGTCGACCAGCAATTGAAGTACAAGCTTTCAAGGGCAAGGGGAATTTCTTTGTCTTCCTAAAGTAATTGTTGTGTGCACTGAAGCATGAGGTGGTCTTATTGAGCTATTCAGTTTTTATTAAAATCCAGTAATTATACCCAAATCCACTGTTTTCCTCTTAAGGAGTTGACTGAACAATTTTACCAAAGCTTGCTTCTACCTACCAAGCTCACAGGGTAATTTTAATCAAGTTCTCCATGCCAAATTATTTTGCAGATTGTTTCTGCATGAAAGGTGTCATCACGTCCATCTGTGCCATGCCACCTGGGAGTCACCCACAGCTTTAATTTGGGAAGAAAGTAGGGAGCATAGGATTTCTTGAGGAAGCAAGGATTGCGTTGTTCTGCATTCATGTGTTCTGGGACAAACAGAGCTGGGGCTGGAGTAGCCACACCTTAGGATGTGTTCTGGAAGCACCAGTGCTAGAGTAAATAAACACCATCTGGTAAGCCTTGGTGAGGGAGACGGAAGCAGAAGGCTTAAGAAAGGTACATTCTTCTCTTCGTAGTGCAGGGAAATTGCAAGGGGCACAGGGTTCCGAGATACCCTGCTGGGTCACCAGTTCAAATTCATCCTTTATCACTGTTTTCCCCCAAATAATTTCCCTCTTTACGCACGGTGCCACTGCACCATCCCATATCAGTGACTGGGGCCTGCGAGAGCCCACTCCCCAGCAGCCCACACCAACTGCTTCACAGCTGACAGAGGGCACCTTCTCCTCCTCAGAAATTCAAACTGGATGATCGTGCAGGGACACGAGGGTCCATCCACACGAGGACCAGGACCATGCCTCAAGCACTCGCTGTCCCTTGCTGTGCGTTAGCTCACAAATCCGAGACAACCCTCAAGGCAGTCCCCTCAGATCAGCTCGATGTGCGTGCGCTGGCAAAGCATCGTGGATGCTTAGGCAACTCTTATCAGATCTCTGTTTATAAATACAAGATTTTGAATTTGGCTTGAGCGCCTAAGCTCACTAGCAGGCAGGCTCTGCACCACCACCAAACAAAAGCACAATAACAACGACCACGAACAATCGCTGTTTCACCTCTCCCACATTAGCTATTAATAATGTTAATTTACTTCCTTTGAGAGATACCATATGTTCCCCTTCCTGATCCCTCTACAGGCATAAGAAAAAACTAAGGAAATTAGAGAGACTCCATAACACTGATGGCAACATCCAATGTCTTATCAGGCTTCCTGTTGTTGGGAGTATTGTTTTCCTTTAAAGATTAATATTTACAATGGTTACTTAGTTATCTTAGTTCATTCGGTGGCCATTAAAGATTCCAGCCCTGAATGCAATGAATGAACCTCCTTTTATTTGTCCTTGATGACTTATTTGTCTTGTGCCTCATCTGGCTGAAAATCAAGGAAAATAATAATTGGGTTGGGCTTTTACTGCCATTTCATATGAGGGCTCAAAGTGCATATCTCTGTTTGTTTTAAATTGGGAGCCCTTACCCAATGCTTCTGCTGATGTATGCATATTTAAGAGTATATCTTTTGCGATTAGAAGCAAAGTTAAAATAGGTATTTTCCACTATTTTTTTTTTAAGTTGTACGTCTGGTTTTTGTGCTCTTTGGGAAGAAAATGAAGGTGTTGTGCATGTCGCCCATGAGCGCAGCAGTAGCCTGGTGGGTTCACTGGAGAGTCTTGAGTGGAACAGAGGCAGCACCGTGTGCCTGGCTGCTGGGCATGGACTGAAGAATCATAGAATTATTGGAGGGCTTAGGTTGGCCGGGATGTTAAAGATCACGGAGCTCCAACCCCCTGCTGTGGGCTGGCTGCCCCCACCAGCTCAGACTGCCCAGAGCCCCATCTAACCTGGCCTTGGGCACCTCCGGGGATGGGGCTAAAGAAGTAACATTCCCATCCAGTCTGGCTGTAGTTTTCTCCTCTGCATCAGCATGAGAGGTCATTCTCTGCAAGAGGAAAAGGCACAAACATTTTTCTTTTTTCTTTTTTAATAAAAGCCCAAGCACAGATCATTGAGCGGTCCCTCAGTGTGATACAGATCATGGTCTCAATCTGGCCACCTGCTTCTGGAGCTGCAGAAGTATTTCTAGGCCTCTTCTGGGCATCAGGGATTTTGAGGTCACCTTGAGCTGTCCTGGTCCCCGTTAATGAGGAGCACAAAAATATCCTCGTATTCACAGGGGTCTTGGACCCAGCCCCGAAGAACAACAGCAGTGGCAACCATGGCCCACATTACAAATCATTGCATTGGAGATGTAAGCCACGTGCAGCACTGCAGCAGGGATGCACTTTGGGCACATGAACTGCTTTCAACCTACCCTGTCTTCCTCTTCAGCGTGGATGAAGGATGCACCTTGCCTCCTCTGAAAGCTGAAGCCCCCATCAGCTCATAATCACCTCCCCTTAGAATAACGTAATTTCCATCTGTGTGCCCAGCGTCTCCCACAAATGCACTGCTGCTGCTGACCCCCACACTGTCTCCCTCCCATGCAACCTTTCTCCCACAGCCTATCACTCTTTTCTCAGCTCAGATCCTCTGACCACAGAGCTCAGCACTGTGCCCAGCTCTGGCTGCAGCCCACAGGAGCACAGGGCTCTGCATGCAGTGACGTGATGCTCATTTTGCAGAACGTCTGCATGCTCTGCTCGTGAACCAGCAGTCCCTCACCAGCAAGCCCGTTCTCAGACACATTTGGCTCCCAGAGAAGGGATAATTTATAATTGTGACATTTCCAAGGTTTCTCTCTTTTTCTCTCCTCCTCCCAAATGGTTAAAAAAAAAGAAAAAAGAAAAAAAAAAAAAAGAAAATGGGCCAAACCATCTGAGCTTTAACAGGGGGAGTGTGTGCTTCTGCTTTCTTTGCAGTCTGCTGTCTCATTCTGAAACTGCACATTTGATGTGCTTTTATAATGAGTTCATTTGCGCCCTGACAGATGTTTCTGATATGATAAGAAATGTGGCCCAGGAGCCAGCGGCGCTGTGGAGCCACTCGTGTTCCTCACCTGCATTGCAAATGAGCTATCGCTTTCTTATCAGTTAAAAAACATGAGCAACTGCACATACAAATAATGTGCCACCGACTGCCAGCTGTTTGTGCCAATGACATTCTTCATAAAAGAATAGATCCCCCCCCCATCATCTGTTCTCTTCCCTCTTGCAGAAAATCAGGAGTTCTTTTGCAAGCGCAGCAGAAGAGAATTTTCTCTTTAAGCTTCAGACAGAGCAGCAAAAATGTCACTTTAAAGTAATTATATATTAGCAAAAAAATAACTTCCATATTTGGCACAGGTAACAGTTGATTGGGGGTGGGGGGGGAAAGTAATTCATTGTCCTATTTCTGCATATCTCTGTAGGCAAGCGTTGGTGCTGCTGTCTGTTTCTTAGGGATTCCTTTTTAAAGAGTTTGGTGTCTTTCAGTGTTTTCAGGGTTTCCATTCTGAATGCTGTGGAAGAATGTTACTCTGCTTAAAAAAAGCCCCTTCTTTCCCCCCTTTTTCCCTTCTTTTTCCCCCTTTTCCCCTTTTTCTTCCTTTTCTTCCCTTTTCCCCCCTCTTTCTCTTCTTTCCCCTTCTTTCCTCTTTTTCTTTTTTTTTTTCTTTTCCCTTTGTTTTAAATCAGAGGGACAGCCCTACATCACCTTTGTCGTAAGGTTTCTAAAAGATTGGGTTTTAGCTTTCTTCTATTCAAAGTGAAGTTAAGAACACTCTTAGAATCTCAGACACAGAACCTTCATCACCAAATACTGCAATCAACAGAGCTTAAAAACACTGCAAGGTAAAATTGTTCTGGTAATTGCTTTGCTCGTGTAAAATTGAAAAACACTTTTCAGCATTTTGCCAGCTACAGGCAGAGATGTATTTCTCTTGCAAATGACCTTCTGGGAGAGCCTGACTGCAGGGACATGATTCATTGGCAGCCTGCTGGTGACAGGCATGTTCCCATTGTTCTAAAAGTCTGGTTTCACATTTCTCCCGTTAGATAAGCTGCAACCATTAACTACACAGTGAGCTACAAACAAAGTGTGATGTAAGAATTCAGCTTA